AGCTATCATTGGCAACACGCACTGATTGCACACTTTCTACTTAAGGTCTGAAGAATATCGGACAAGAAGATTCGGAGTTTGCTGGACGCAGCTCTGCATAGTTAGATTCGTCGGTATTCTTAATGACTGAAGCTTAACTCACAAATATGTGAATGGTAATAGGTAACCAAAAACAGTAAAATATTAGGAGAAAAAAATTAATATAATTACAAGCACATGAACAGGCAGACCGAGTGGGTCCGCATGTTTCAGGCCAGGAAACCCTGTTCCTGTTTTTATACACCTTACACACCTCATCACATAATAACTTATATTGATAAACCGCTGGATGTGTATGTTTAATCATCTTTTTTATCTACTGTATTTCTGGTTGTTATCAAGAAGATACTGCTTCCATCATCATGTTTTTGATTCCTTCTGACACTTCTACGACAGTCATGGGAAGACATAAGACTGTGTGGTATCGGTGAATAAATTGTATGTCTTTTGTTTTTTTCTAAAACAAAACACACACAACCAAAAAGGTTGGCATTCTACTCACACATCCCAATCCACGCGTTTACGATGTTATGTTTATGATTATATAGGAGGTAGATTAAGCTGTAGTGTAGAAGGTCGATCAAAATACTCGTAAGACCTGACCCGAAAACTTCGAGGGTTTTTCTCCATTCTTTCTCCCGCGGGAGCCTTTTTTTTGCCTCCTCTTTTCTTTGCCTATAATTTGTGTTTTTTGTACACGTATTACTATCGGCTTGGATGGCATATTTGTAATGGTTACTTCGATGTTAAAGGCCAAGAGATGCTCTACTATTTCACTTGGTCGATTTAAGATTTTGGTTTTTTATATTGTGCTTCTACTGCGTAGTAAAAAGTTTGCATTTATTATTATCGATATTCTGAAATATTTGAACTAATACAACCGCATAGCTGGGAATTCTTTCATTCATTTGGGTTAGCTAAGTTGACTTTCTATAATGGTTGACGCTATAGCTGAACGGACATTTATCAGCACCGTGGGCACGTAGGTACGCGCCTTATGCGCCGTACGCAATTCTTTTGTTTTAACATTATTCTTATAGTTTTCGAGTTATTTTCAAAAACATGGTGCCATTTTTTTTTCAAGTTTATTGTTAATAACAATTACAATTTATGTTTTCAGGAAAAAAACGCCTTCCTCAGAATAATATTACGAATCGATTGAGCCATAGCTCGTATTTTTAGGAGAATTGGAACGATTTTTCGCAGAAACTACATTTCGATCAGACTATTAGGCGCTAACCGCGTGATGTCGGTGTAAGTATACCCACTACCTCTAGTGGTCCTTTAGTGGGTGTCGTGAGAGCCGTCAGAGGGAAAATAATTCAGGAGGTGATACCAACCCAAAATTATGAAAAACTGCGGGTGTCATCCCGCCTGCCAAGCTTGGCAACTATGGCAATAGCCTATATGAGTCAATCTATGGGGGAGGCTTATGTTCAGCAGTTGACTTTTATAGGCTGTAATAGTAAGAGATTATTTTTATAGAAGAGGGGGCAAACGAGCACACGGTTCACCTGGTGTTAAGCAACTACCGCCGCCCATGGACAACGGTAACACCAGGGGAATTGCAGGTGCGTTGCCAGCCTTTTTAGAAAGGAGGAAGCTCTTTTCTTGAAGGTGCCCAGATCAGTGTTAACGATTGTAGAAATTCAACTTGGCAAACCCCGTTGGAATCGCAACCCATCCGCTATTCATCCATGTGAAACACGTAAGTCGTAAGTAATATCCTGCTTGATTATTCAAACTTTGTTTAAAAACATTGTACCTACGTAATAAAAATACAAATAATTTGTCTATGAAATCATATTGTGAACATTAGATTGAAGTTTGGTTTTCAAGTGGTAATTAACACCTGGGTGGAAAATGGCGTTGTAACAAATTAAAGTTATGACGCAAAAGCACATAAAAAAGGCAACGACTCTTTCCTTATAAATTATAATACGTGGTAAAGCCATGCTGCAGTTATATTAGTAGTATAGTTGTAGCACGAATGGGTCGGCTCGACCGGGGCAGGACCACGTTCTCACAGAATACCAGCGTGAAACAGTAGCTTAATGCTGCTGTGTTTCGTATGGTGAGTGTAGAGAACCGGAGACCCTTTTTTTTCATTTTTTTAAATGGACGTTGTGGTTTTAGAGATATGGTTTATAATTAATTTTTTGGTACGTTATGATTTATTAAATGCGAGTATATGCGTGACTTAGTTTGTGTAGTAGTTAGCGCGTGGTAGGGGCCAACTGGAGACGCCGGGTTCCGATACATTTTCAACTACTGGGCATATCTCCTTCATTATTATATCTATGAAACAGACAAACAGACAAATGATTTTTAAAATTATTTTTTGTTACCTGTATACTTTCATATGCACTTAGTAAAACGCTGTTCATTTCAAACAGACACTTCAATTTTTTTTGTATAGTTGTATAGATTTGTTGTAGGCACTGCCGGGAATAAAGAGATTGTTTCAAAGGATTTGTCTTTGAACAAATATTACAATTGTTTATACTTAAGACCTATGCTCAATTTGTATTTTAAATTAAAATAAGCAACTTGCTTTAAATCCTGATTGTTTACCGTTGTAACTAATTTTAATTGACAGTTTATAAAACATAATAATATACTATTAACTCCAAAAAGGTCAGTATGTTGTATTACTTCTAATATTCATATTCATTTTACAACGCAGAGTTTTTCGTCTTTCTCACTATTCGCATAAACATAATCATTACAGACGACTTCAAAAAAGGAGGAATTCGACTGAACAGTTTTTGTGTGTGTTCGTTTATGTAATATCTTCGCCTGTTGTGTACCAACTTCAATTATTCTTTTTTATCAAACTATCTATACCTAAGGTTCAATGTAAGTATGGTCCCATGTAAATTTAAAAAAAAGCTCTAACGAAACCACAAAAGAGATAAAATTTTCAGTGTAACTATTTAGCCCACATTCTAGTTACAAAGAAGACATAAGATAAGCCAACATTCTAGGTACAAAGAAGACATAAGATAAGCCAACATTCTAGGTACAAAGAAGACATAAGATAAGCCAACATTCTAGGTACAAAGAAGACATAAGACAAGTCAACATTCTAGGTACAAAGAAGACATAAGATAAGCCAACATTCTAGGTACAAAGAAGACATAAGATAAGCCAACATTCGAGGTACAAAGAAGACATAAGATAAGCCAACATTCTAGGTACAAAGAAGACATAAGATAAGCCAACATTCTAGGTACAAAGAAGACATAAGATAAGCCAACATTCTAGGTACAAAGAAGACATAAGATAAGCCAACATTCTAGTACAAAGAAGACATAAATAAACACATTGGTACAAAGAAGACATAAGATAAGCCAACATTCTAAGGTACAAAGAAGACATAAGATAAGCCAACATTCTAGGTACAAAGAAGACATAAGATAAGCAATATTCAGGTACAAAGAACATTCTAGGTACAAAGAAGACATAAGATAAGCCAACATTCTAGGTACAAAGAAGACATAAGATAAGCCAACATTCTAGGTACAAAGAAGACATAAGATAAGCCAACATTATAGGTACAAAGAAGACATAAGATAAGCCAACATTATAGGTACAAAGAAGACATAAGAGAAGCCAACATTCTAGGTACAAAGAAGACATAAGATAAGCCAACATTCTAGGTACAAAGAAGCATTCTAGGTACAAAGAAGACATAAGATAAGCCAACATTCTAGGTACAAAGAAGACATAAGATAAGCTATAGGACAAAGAACATTCTAGGTACAAAGAAGACATAAGATAAGCCAACATTCTAGGTACAAAGAAGACATAAGATAAGCCAACATTCTAGGTACAAAGAAGACATAAGATAAGCTAATATTCTAGGTACAAAGAAGACATAAGATAAGCCAACAGTCTAGGTACAAAGAACATTCTAGGTACAAAGAAGACATAAGATAAGCCAACATTCTAGGTACAAAGAAGACATGAGGGTAATACTAATATGGTCACCTTAAGCTTTTTCTTTTCCGTCTTAGCCCTTTCAGACCCGTGGCGTGACGGCGCTACCTAACGAATATTACAGAATTGATTTAGGGCAAGTAACATGCGTACATTACAAAGATGGGGTCTTAAAAAATCTAGGAAAATGGGAAAACTGTTTTCCACGATACTCACGATCGTACTACGTCGGGCCCAACTGGAGCTACCCTCACAATCGTGAGGGTAATAACAATATTCAAATAAAATTAAAAATTAGGAATAATTATTTATTTTATAATCAAAATTAACTTAATTTCTTATTGTTAATAAGTAACAAAAATATAACGCTTCTTTTAACCTATATTTTTGGCGTAATTAGATATAATAAAAAATTAAGAACTAGGAACAAGGCAAACAATCGAGATCACCAGTTTATAATTACTAGAAGCAATAGACATGAGAAAAATATTTAAAAAAAATTCATTATGGAAAACATAAAAACAATGCTTATCTTTAGTACTACAAAGATAAACATTACATTTTGTGCATCTTACTTTTGAACGGCTTGTACAACCTGTCACTCGGCAACAGCGAGGATCGAGACGTTTATCTATAGTTGGAATAGGTGCTGGTTGATAATAGGATGTTGAAGGCATCTCTTTCATTTCTTCGAATTCTTCTCGGGTGGGTTTTCTCGTTGAACCGCCAACCACCAATCAGGCACATATTTTAAAGTTCAGAAAATCCATGATATTAGAGTTCTAAACTTTATTTCTGTCACATGATTGGCGATACTCGTACCAAGAGTTCACCATGGCCAAGTCAAACCAATGCATTATTAACTTGATTGGCCATTTGCGAGTTTTATGCCATGGTCTGTAGACCTCCATCGTTTGGTCGCTGACGTTTAGACCTCCCATGTGTTCATGTTATTTTTTATCATATCAGGGCAAGTTACTTCGATGTATGATTTTGTAATTTTATCGTAACGTTGGACCTTATGCAATGGCTGGGCTCCAATGGCAGTTGAACCAGTTAATATAATAGCTGTAAATTTCTTCAGTAAATATCTTAAAGTATTCACTTGGAGTAAGTACCTCTTCCGTCGACTCCGAGATCAGTGTAGGCATGGGTTTCCCGAAGAATCGTCTGCGAGTCCATTTATTCGACAATGATGGACTTGCTACTGTTGAATCTCTTGCTCCTTGCACGTCTTCGTCATCCGAGCTAGAACTGGGTAACTCACCAGGTGGATGCCAATCATTATCGTCGTCGAAGTCTTCGCAAAAATCACAGTCAGCCAGTTGATCCATTATAGCACCAGAGTCAAAAGCCAAGCTATTTCTATCCATAACGATGTATCAAATAGGCTAAAAAGTAAAAAAAGAGGGTTTTAACATAAAATAATTGGTATTAAATAATCACTAATCTGACCAACGTTGGGCCCGAACTCTCACGATTGTGACATCTAAAAGTAACCTCGAAAAAGACAAACTAAATACGCGAAAGGACGAATAAAAACATAATTTATCGAGAATTTAGCTTTTTTTCAAACGAATGATTGCAATAACAATATAGTTTTTACTTACTTTTACGTGACAAACAGGTATGTTTAATTTTGGCGCGTAACACGTGATTTTTGCTAGGTGGCGAATGGCGACTGAGTCAAAATTATTGTAATTAGTTCCACTGCTCTTTGTCATAGTAAACCGAACTACACGCACGATCGTGCGACGCTGTCCCCGTTCGCATACGGCGATTGTTTAATTTTATAAAAATTGACAAAGTCACCGTCACAATTGTGGGTACTGGGACCGAAAGGGCTATAAAAACAAAAATAGGAGGAGTATAACATAGGTATAAAAACACTAAGTCGTATACTATAACTAATATATTAAGAAAAAAAAAGCACAAACAAGCTTTGACAATAATTAGGATAACTTCGAAAAACCACCTTAAAGAAAACGAACTACGTTACACAATACTAAAATCGACTAAAGTATATATACTATAATATCAACTGTTAAAATGGTGTCGATAAAGCAGGGTCCTTTTGACCCTTTAATATTTGATTGACTGATGAAGAGCTATCGTTTTACAAAGCCATCTATGCAAAGGAGGCTGGAGTTTTTGAGTTATTAAAGTGATCATATTAACCCGATGACCATATTTACTGGAAGACCATATTACCTTCACGTACCCCAAGAATTAAAACCCCGAATTCAGAAGCTAGTAAATTTTTTTAGTTACTGCAGTTGATATTCCCTCTTTAAAAGTCAAATTCATATATTTATTAGCGTATAAACAATTTTATTGATAATAGTTAAGCTTGACCATTAGATTCATCACACTAAACTGCAAAAAATGACATTAGCCAACCATTTTGACCGACTTTAATAATTTGTTATTTTGGCCATCTATTCACTGCGCGCACGAAGAAGTGTGAGATTTGGCTTAGTTAAAATGTATATGGAGGTGTGCAGATAGCTAAAATTTATAAAAACACTTAAATTAAATTACACTACTTACATTCATACTGCCATTGTCAAGTATATAATAGTTTGTGGTCAACAGTTGCACAGAGTAGAGATTGTCGTCAAAGAATTTTTAAATGTTGCCAAAAGAATAATCATTATTCATTACTTAAATTTGTGTGTTTCTACTTCATTTCTTCAATAGGGTATTTTACACATTTTCAAAAATTGTTTTAAAAGAATCCTAGAGTAATAATTAACCACTATAATTTTAATATAATTTTTAAAAACCGAATAGTGGCAAAAAATTACTTTTAGTCTATTGTTTTAAATTTTCGAGTAAAAAACGCTAGCCGCCATATTGTTTAACTCGTGACGTCACAGTCGTCGATTCTGCCGATTTCGCAAAGGAATAAGATACTTATTAATGTTTAATAATGAGCTATCATCTAAATCATTGTTGTGTTGTACCTGAATGCAAAAATACGAGCATAAGAACGCCTGGAAAGTTATGGATTCAAGTGCTAACTGATTTAAATATAAGAAATATTTGTCCAAAACTGGCAAGAAGATACCCGAATACATTGTCTACATAAACCAGACTATTCTTCTGTGAAGATCATTTTGATGTAAGTATGACTTATATTTAACTATCGTTTAATACAAAACAAACATCACGAGGTGATGGGTATCGCAAGTCAAATTTTGTAATAAATTACGTTAACTTAGATACTATAACTAATGATTGTAATTGTAGATGAACTAAACTATGATAGCTACTGAACTATGTTTTATCAAAATACACTCTCATCTGGTATTGTGTTTTTGTATAAACAAAAGTTGGTAATAGGTACTTATATTGATGTTTTAACATTCCTCAACTCAGCAGAACAAAAATTGCGATTGCATGCAAAAAATTTTGCCACCATCAATTTATTTATCCTTGGTAGATTAGTACCTACTTCCTGCTTTTACGAATTCGTCTTCCACGATGCCTTTTCAATAAAATTCGTAATAAAACTCAATAATCAGAATGATAACTTGAAAATTTTCGAAATAACACAGCACGTTAACTAGTTATCTTAATCAGTGATACAGAACACTAATATCCTTAGGCTGGATGAGTGACGTCACGACATGGCCAATATATGGCGGACACCGTTTTACAGATTTAAGGCACAGACGAATAAAAATATTATTAAAATTTAAATATAAAATTTATAATGCAATTTTATAAACAGAAATCAGTATTTCTCGTTTATTTTTTACAAAATTTATCATAAATATATATTTTTGATTTTATTTTACATGGTGCAAAATACCCTATTGTATGTAGTAATGTATCAAGGCAAAAAGCATTTATTTTATAGTATGTACATGAGTATGAGATATCTGTGTTTGAAGGCGCAGTTGGAAGTGACATACTGTTTGCTTAATATATATATATATATATATATATATATATATATATATATATATATATATATATATATTAAGCAAACAGTATACTATACTAATTTTTAGTTAATAACTTCATAAAATTATGAATTACGATCGAACTTCGACCATCAGGCGATAGTAAATATATAATTTATTGAAAGCTTGGCTACGGCGCCAAATAGCTATAGCAGTACATATAATAAGAGTACAGATGTGAACCATCGTTTTGACAAAATCATCGTGTGAATATGACCTCAACCGGCCAAGTCGTTTAAAAGTTACACGATCTTTAACGGGCGTACCTATTATAAATAAAGAATAATGGGAGGACTTCTCTTTTTTTTTTTGTAAAATTCAATGGTGTTCTAAATCATGTAAAGGCGTTGGTCCTGCACCTTATGTCTCCGGTTGCGTCGGTTTACCGTCCCATCAGACTATGAGTGAGGCCACGTGGGTACTATAATCCTGTCTTGTCCAGATGTCTAGTCTCCTAAGAGATTGAATACCGTGACCGAAATTCGGTCTGGCGGACAATACATACTACGAGTATAAAAAAAAACCATACAGTCGAACCGTAAATCTTTTTCTTTTTTGAAGAAGAAGAAGTGGCACTGCATCAGCTGCTTACCTGATTGTAAGCAGCTACTGCCACGCACAAACACTTGCAGCCAACTTCAAAGTAAGAAGGCTTCAGATGCGTTGTCATCTGTAAGGACTAAGATATAACGACTTACAGCCTATAATTAGGGGGGTTTTGGTTTGGTTTTTTTTTTTTTTTTTGTTTCGTCTTTTTTCTTGCCTTTTAATGGCTCCCAATAGCCTTCGAACCGAAACACAGCAATGCAATCACTGCTATTTAGCGTCAGAAATTATTTCTGACGTAGGTGAGAGGTTGTTGGACCCAGACGGACTAGGTAAAAAAGGAGTCCCTACAAAAAACCTCGTTCAAAATAATACAACCATTGTTGAAAGCCACACATACAAATGTATAATCTTGCACATAATAACGTCTGAGTGGTTAAAGATTCCTTTTATTACTATTATTAATATTACCTTGACTTTTTCTAAGCGTATGATAGATCAACAGAGCAAAAACTATATTTAATAAAAGGAGATTTATAGCTCAATAATAATAAGAATATTAACGCAGTTATAAAAAAAACACGCAGTAAATCTACGTGTTTTTTTTTTAAATTTGTGTTCAGAATGTTAAATCCGAATACGAAAAATATAAAAAAAAATTAACGAACATTTGCATCCCATTTTGAGAGATAGACGGAATTTTATTTTAAATACATATGTAAGTGTTATATTGTTTAATTAGGAATGATAATACACTGAAATAAAATGATATAAATAGCTTTCAAATAAATTAGTCGGTACGATACGCGCGCAAACTATTATAAGTTAATTGCTATGCCTATAACCTTCGCGCAAGTGCAAGCAATATGTTGACGAAGTTTTACCTCGATCTGATGAACCATATGAACGGTATGCCAGCGCATAAAATACGAACAAACATTAGTTTTTATACATTAGATTTACAAAGACTGAAAATATATGAAGCTTCCTAGGTCCTACAATTTTGTTTGTCAAACTCGAGATACATGTGAGCCGTGGTAGCACAGATGGTTTACGCTCGCTGTAAATATAACAGAACGCGAGTAACCCGGGTTCGATCCCCGCCGGCACCAATGAAATTGTTAATTACAATTTTAAGTGCTGATTTAACACGTGCTCGGCGGTGAAGGGAAACATCGTGAGGAAACCTGACTTTTCTGAGGTATAAGAAAAAAAATATTTCGAAGACATGTGAAGTTCGCCAACAGCATTCGGGCAGCGCGGTGGACACTTCCTTGCCCTAAAACCCTCTCAGAAATGAGGGGAGGCCTGTGTCCAGCAGTGGGATGGGACGTATATAGGCTGTAACTTTACTTTACTTTTTACTCGAGATACATGCAGACAAATGACAATCGGCACCAGTAGCTCTAACAGTGATGCATATTGCATACTGGAGGCGATTGTCGGACCTTGATGCATTGTGTGCGTGTATCTCGCGTATGGCAAACAAAATTTTAGGACCTAAAGTGCTTCACATATTTTCAGTGTACCATTACGCCCGTGTTATAGCTACTTCATAAGAAGTATCTAGACTCATCAAAGATGTGGGGCCCATTATCACGTTATTGCTTCTCTATTATTTGCAACTTCAAACCATTGGAAAAAAATTGAAGTTATTACGAGTTTTTTAATAACGACTATACAGAGTAGATACCAGGATATTTTATATATTATTTTTCTCATCTCTTTTGCCCTTATATATTAAGTATTAAACGAGTCCGTGTGTGCTTTTAACCGTTCTGCATGGACACAACAGAATTGTTTCTACATCATAAATCACAATACAATTCAGCAAAAAATTCAGTTGTTAGTCGTTACATCAACCTCTAAGCCGAAAAATTACATTTCTATTTTATAAATATTTTCTGTTAGACTGTAGAACATCTCATGGTCGATAAATAAGACATTAAATACGAATAAGACGAATAATGCGGGATTTTTATAGAAATAATAGAACTTCATTAATAACGTCATTATGAACCATTATAGTAACGTATACGTAGTGGTATAAGAGTACAGTAAATTACAAGCTTTAGAACAAATATTTCGTAAAATTCCATTCAATCAATAAGGTGACGAACGAGCACACAGTCCATCTGATAGGAAGTGAATACCTGTGGCCGATATACATACCACTATCCTCGTTTAAGAATTAAAACGCAAATAGTGACGAAATATTTCTTCACCAGTAAGGATCTCTAGGCTGCTATTTCATACTGATATTCTGGGCGAGCGGAGTCCTTACCTGATCGAGCCTACTCATTCGTGCCGCAACCGTAAGCCCTATATTTTCAGCGAAGTTGCACTAAAGAGTCAAAAATAACTAAGGGATTGAATTTAGGCTCCTAAACTTTAAAATTTAGGATACATTCGTTTTTTTTTTATGGAGTTACATTGCATTAAACTGTAGACAGCTTAAAATAAAAAGCTTAAGACCAATAATGTCCACAAATTAATTTTTATCACTAAATAAAGTAAAAAAAACGCACCAACTAATGTGTACTTTATCAAGCACGGGTGACAAAGATTGGTGATAGGATGCCAGTGCTCATTGTTCACCACGTCGGCCAGCTCTTCTGATTTGTTGGTCAAGAACATAGCGAACTCCTTGAACGTGACGTCATGGCCGTACTCTAACGACTCGTTGGAGGGATTCTCGCGGTATGCTCGTATAATTCTCTTGCCTACTCGGTCCTGAAAATATTTAGTTATTATAATATATTTTTAAATATTAAATGCTGATGATTTCTTAAATTTACGCGAACACTACACATTGAATAAAACTATTTTATATGGATTTTATCGCGTTATTCATAGACATATAGTTGACGTGAAGCACCGACGCTCCGGGAGTCTGCAGTCTGTGAACATGTTCAAGATCGTCCCCACCATTACATTAGATTTAATAAACCACAAATCTTCAAGGATGATACGGGAGGTTATTGAAATTAAAAAACAGCCTAATTTCAATAGAGAAAATGGATGGGTGCTGCCATCTGCTTGGAATCCTATAGTTAACAAAATTAAATCCAAACCCAAGCATACCACCACTACAAGACTTTAAGATACTGTAAGCTCGTTCTGCGTAGATCGGACCAAAAGTTAATGTTCAAAAACTGAAGATAGCCGGGCTAACTATGACATTGGGACGTCAAACATCTCAGTGTCCCCCCCCCCCCGTGACCAAGGGTGCTGTAAAGCACCAGAAACGTCGGGAATTAAAAATAAGTTCATTAAACGCGATAAAATCCGTATAAATAGTTTTATTCAATATTAAATGATGCTTTTGGTATTTCCAATAGCCTGGTCGATGCTTAAGGGGAAATATAATCTCAAATGGCTTAGCAAGATCCTTCGTTATGCCGAAAATATTGCAGCATTAATTTTGAAATAAATATATGGTAAAGTTGAGGATTAATGTTAAGGATTATGTTAGACGAAAACACGATTTCGTAAAATTTTCTCGATAGAAAAAAAAATCCGAAGTTACCTCCAAAATAAACAATAAACCGCTGTTATTCATAAAATACTTTAAATAAGATCATGAAACTTTGCATACTAACTGAACTAACTATAAAGCAGTGCTTATGTTATTTACATTTTTTAAATACCATTATTTTCACTGTAAAAAGAAATTACCTAAACTATCGGCCTTTTGAAGCGTGATTCCTGCCGCACGGTCACTTCGCTTCGGCCTTTGAACGGGGAGGTTGTGTCGCTTACGATCAGAATATACATTACGCAACAGGACGACGTAAAATTAAAATGGGAAATAACCGTAATAAAAATAAGAAGCGACTGGCTTGGCGTTAAGAAACAGGCATAAATATGATAAACCTAATGAAATAAGTGTCTAACGACCTTTCTACTTACATTGTTAGTGATTACAAACATGTCGGTACATAGCATACGACGCGCGGGCAAGTGGGGCGAAATTAGAATATGAGCTGACTTACTCTATCCCCTTAAGGTGACGATATTACCCTCACACACCTTACAATGTTTAGTTTTTAAAATATATATATCCACGAGATATATTCACGACGTATGGCGATTTCTATCCCATATAGAACAGAGACGGGGAGCACCGTCAATTAAAGTTGTTCAATAGGACTATAAATCAATAGCACGCTACAGACTATAAACTATAAATTTCTAGCGTGCTATTAAATACGCTATGTTATAGCGCGCTATTTATAAGAAAGTGTGTAGGAGGCTGGCAAGCGCGTTAAGTTTAGCACCACGCTACATCTCGGAGCACGCTACATTACGTGTCGTTCATTGGATAGACCGCGTGCGATATTATAAGAAAATTATTACGTAATAGGTCGCATTTTAGATTAATATAAAATAAAGTGGTAAAGAGAAATCAATGAACGCTCTTTCATACTTTCCAGGCTTACGACTTTCTATAATCATAAAAATATTTTTAAGGCAAGTATTTTTTAAAACAAAATAAAATTAATAATTTTTGTTATAATTGATGTAAACGTTATTTTAACCTTAATATAAATTATAAATCAATTAAAGGTGTATTTAAAAGTTTACTGATTGTATTTACAAAATTCAACTATTTACATTTCATATATTACAGTTCAACATTATTATATACACTTTATATTTTACTTACAATTAAAAACATTAGTTAGGCTTCTTTTGTAGCAGATAACTGTGTCCTTTGATCACTTATAAATATACACTATACACTAACTAAACAACGTCTAACACTAAATTAGTTCGCGCGCGATGAATAGCGTGCTGCTAGATTAAATTTGGGTCACACGTCTACTCCCAACAGCGTTGCTGCTAGACCTAATTGCCACTCGATATGATTAGCGCCAAAGCGTTATAGCGCTATAGCGCCATGGCGACTACTTACATAGCACGCGCTATGCGGTATGGAGAGATAGCGCGCTATATGGCGCTATGCGCTATATTAACCACCATTACCGTCAACGATGTGAGTTCTTCTCAATATGTTTGGCGGTTATAACAAGCTAATTATGAGAGAGGTCCGTGTCCTACAGCAGTCTGTCGTATAGGCCTGTACTGTTATCATTATCATTCATTTTCCAGTGTAAATGATCTAAAGTTTTATCCCAAATTTTACTTCAAACGCAGTAAGTGTATTTTATTTATAGAATAAGAGTGACAAACCATCTAATAGTCCAGCTGATGGTAATTGGATGCTGTGGCCCATAAACATCTACATTCATCCTGGATTAAGAATCAAAATGCAGATGCATTGTCACACCTGAGGACTAAGATGAAATTCCTCATATCCAAAAAAGAGTCTCCAATTCTCTACACTCACAATATGAAACACAGCAACATTAAGCCGCTATTTTACGCTGGTATTCTGTGAGAGCGTGTTCCTTCCTCGGTCGAGCCGCCCATTCGTACTACAACTATATACGAGTATAACTGCAGCTTGGCTCTACCACATATTTAATTTGTTTCGTAAGCAATTCAATGAAATATTATATTTTAATTAATGGTAGCCAAACTGAATATATTTTAGACAATCAATTAGCGAATCATCATATTATATTATTATATATGTTTAATAAAAAAATTTCATCCGGGGACAATGATGATGTTTGTTTAGATCTTGTACATTTTTATGTACTCTTGTACATATTTATATATCTTTAAAACAATGCAAGCAAGTCACTGTATTGTCAGTGTTTATTGCGCGTACTTGACCTCTGCAGCCTTGAGCTTAGAGTATACATAAGCTAGCTATGCTTAGGTATCCTCTAAGGGCTTCAATTAAAAATTTGTATTCAACGCACTATTGCACACAGCTTGACCGAAGTGTGAGAGTAACCTAGAAACGTCTTGTATCATTCGTCGACGGGTACAGTAGTAAGTGAAATTCACACGTGGAACATTGTTTACGATGAAGTGTCATGAGAAGCTTACTATTTCATTTTTGATAACTGATAACAACATCATAAAATTTATGACAAAATTAAAAGCCATTTTACTAAAATATTTTTATGGGCTTTGTGTGGCAAAATTTGCAGTATACATAACGACAGTAAGAACAAATTTTAAAATTTGAGCTTTTTCTCGACTTTAGCTTTTTGTTGGAAGTAGACTCTGAACGTATAGTAATAATAATAATAATGTCCTCCAGACCGGAATTTCGGCCACGGTAGCCTGCCTTAACGGAGGCTAGCCATCGGCGCAGGACAGGATTATAGTGCCCAAGTGTATGCACAACAAGCACAGGTGCACTCTCTATTCCCTCACTCTTATAATCCGCTGGGACGGTAAACCGACACGACCGGAGAGAGATTAGGCGCAGCACCAACGGCTTTACGTGCTTTCGTACGAGGCACGGGGGTGAGACACCGCCAACTTCCTGACTCCGGGGCAACTACATACTAAGAATTTATTGACGGAAGAACTCAATAATTAATTTATTGGCCCGACCCGGGATTTGAACCCAGGACCTCATGATCAGCAGTCGCACTACTACAACCACTAGACCAACGAGGCAGTCAACGTATAGTACGTATAGAACGTATAGTATAAATTATATCCTTTATAATTATGTAAAAAATAAGAATAATTTTATTATTAACACATTTAATTTACTTATTTTATTTTGCTGACTCCTTTATTAACCAATAAAACAACGCTCTATCGCAAGGATTCCCAAAATGGTCGATATCGACCCGTTGCGATGGGTCAAAATTGGTTTCCCAGTGGAGGGGTCGACATAAACGAAAACTGATAATTTGTAACTGTAATTTGTAATAAGAATTATTAATTAAACTTGATATAAACTGAGTTTTATGTCTATTTAGTGTGTTAAATTTTGATGACAAAATGATGTTAAGTTTACTCAATTACCCGTAAAGTTTTTAAATTGGTAAGTATTTTGTATCAGTAGGAAAAAAAATAGAAATAGGATTTTTAAAGTAATTTGGCTATGGAGGTCGCTCAAAATAGTTTGGGAATCCCCGCTCTAACGCTACAACCACAGAAATCTAAATAAATTATTTATGCAATGCATTAACCACGCAATCGTAATAATAAGACAATAGAAGTATAGACGCGTGACCTTGTCGCCGCTATGATGTGTTAAAGAACATCATTTACCATTTTGTGATTTAGTTGCGCGGGAACGTCGTACGTGAATTTATGTTATTATAAATGTATAATGGCGAACTGTAGCATAGTCAGTTGTAAAAACTCATCAAGGACGTGTAATTCAACTAATAAAGGCATAACATTTCATCGGTAAGTTGAAATCAATTAAAAAAAAACAATCATATTTACTAATTATGATTGTTTTAACTAATTTACATCTAGATGAATACATTACTATGATACTTACCTTTATAAACTTTCATTGATTACTTTTCTTATTGTATAATTACTATTGCTGCTTTTGTTCTACGGTGACAAACTCGCCAAGCAATGTAATGTGAAATATTAGATATCATTGTGCATTGTGCGTATGTTTATAATATGGTAAGATGTGGCGACATCGGTTTTGGAAGTAATCGAGCGCTAATTCATTTCTATTGTCTTATTATTACTATTTATGTGCTCGAAACCATTGTTTTTGAGCCATACAAATACTTGTTCTGTACGGGACTGAAGTATCGGCTAACAGCGCCGCAGCCAACCACTTAGCCACTGCGCTATGTATCCTATTTGAAGTCCACTGATGAACGTAGGCATTCCCTATAGATTGCTTATAGAAGAGATATTTACCGTAATTATCACGTTCGGCAACTGCAGTTTTTTGTTATTTCCATTTTTTATAAGAATGGATGGAGGATCTATCTCCTGTTTCAGTTTCCCTCTTACGACACTTACGAGATGACCGTCACAATAATTGTGTTTGTAAATAAAAAATAAAGAGCAAAGAATAGAGCTGTACCTGAAAATATTTTGCACTCTGCGTTTCGCCTTCCAATTTATTTCTATACGCCGACAACAATCGTTCGAACGGATTCCTCACGATAATCATTTTGTGGTAGTTTTCCAACATAGCGTCCCTGTCTTCCTTAGAGACAGTGCTCATGTTTCGGAACATTCCAGGCGAGTGCGCAAGATTGGCGGGTACAGAGAGAACGTCCGTGTTAATCCATTTTCCGGCCAGTATCATTAACACTCTTTTCCAGTTCGTACACGCAACCTATTAATCATATCACAGATTATATCAACAGATAAAAATCAAGCGTTTAAAGGAAAATTATGACTTCTTTTGGCGTCCGACAGGTGGCGGTATATTCATTTCGTATTTATACCAGATATTTTACTTTGGCATCACTCATTTGGAGACAGCATGAGTGAGAGATTCACATGCTTTACTAATGCTTCTCTTTTAGGACAAATTTGATAATAACTAAGTAAATCCAATACTCAGCTCAGATACATTTATATGCAAAAAGAAGGGAGTTGCAAGGAGAGAGCCTCGAGGAACTTAATCGGTTAGACGTTAAAGCTCTAACGACAACCCTCGACATCAACTCGCACGACCATCTTTCATCTGTCCCCCCCGTGACCATGGTTGCTGTAAAGCACCCGAAACGTCGGGATAATAAAAATAAGTAAAATCAGTTAAATAAACGCGACAGAATCCGTAAATTTAGTTTTATTCAATATCTTTCATCTGGTTAATCATCAAACCAGGAATTAAAAAATTAGCGTGTCAAATTCTATTAAGCCTTCGAGACATAAAGAGAAACTGCATGTGTAGTGGCATCTTCGTACCGCCTACCACAGTGTAGACACACACAGTGTGACACCACCCACTAGATTGATGTGGCATGTAGTCGATGGCTGCAGGTGGCTCTGACCAGTGCCTACGTAATCTATGTACTACGTGTGATGGCTGCAATGATAAGAATCCCTTAATTCTAGTCTGTGTTACTCCAGTAGATTCAACAGATTTCGCATTATGACCTTAAAATATTCTGATCCAAAGAAGTCTGCTCCTTTTTTTAATTGAATTTCTAAGGGTTTAATAATAAAAACCCCTTTTTTATTAATTACTGGTGTCTAGTAACTGTTGTTATGTTATTATTTTTATTTATTTTTTATTTATGTAATATGTGGTAACTCAAACAAAATAATTTCCAAGCATCTTCATCATCTGAAAAACATTCTACGCATATTCAGCGCATTGGACCCTAAACGTGCAAGAACATTTAAATAATTGTTTCTCAGAGAACTGGATCGGCAGAAATGGGCCCATCCCTTCGCCACCTCGATCGTGTGATTTAACTCCTGTAGATGTTTTCGTTTGGGACAGGACAAGGAGCTCATCTACAGGAATATGGAAATATCAACCAGAGAAGTTAATAGGAAGAATTCATACGGCTTTTCAAGTTATGAAGCAAAAGATGACAATGAAAGTTACAACCACAGAAGTGAGAAAACGTGCCCGTGCTTGTGTTTGAGATTGCGGTCATAATTTTGGAAACAAAAAATAAATTATTTCTGTCTGTTAAAAAATTCAAAACATTCGTCCGCAATTTGCTTTGTACACTTTTCTTTGTGCAATTAGGGTGTCCTAATTCCAAAAGTTAATAAGACTTAAATTAACTGCGTAAATAAACTAAGCATGTTTTAAAAAGGTTTGAATATTTTTTTTTTATAATTTTTTTATGATGGCATAAATAAATCCATTTCCTAACTTTTTTTTTGGTTTTTTAAACTTAAATATGCGTATAATGTTTTTCTGATGGTGATGATGCTTGAAAATTATTATGTTTGAGTAATCATACCGGACTCTATAGCAAGTAATTAAAAAAATGGGTTTTATTGTTAAAAAAAACCTTAGAAATTCTAAATAGTTTAAAGTATCACCCCCTTCAGGCTTTGCACCCATCTACCAAACAGCCTGTACATGAGCTCATGAAGGAATACATGGACTCACTGCTGAACATAGAACCTCCATGGAGTGCTACAAATTATGTCCCGAGAGACCTGCATTCATCGCCTTTCTGCCACCGTACACTTCACTTACTAGTATATGGTTGCCACTCAAGTACCTTCCTTCCCCATCAATACTTGCTAAATTCTTATATTAGAAGATCTTTCTGAAAATTAACACCATACATGACTGCCATTAATACAAAAGGACTTGGACTGTTTACTTGAATACTACAGGGTAAATAATATAACTGATAATGCAGGCAAGTGTGAATCTATTACTTTTACGTGGAAAACTAAGACAATTCTACATAAATATCAATTTCCCAGAGTGAAAATCAGCCGAAAACTAAATGTCAGGGATTTAGGTATATATTTTGATCATAAAATGATACAATCCGAACACATTGATTATGTTATCAGTAAGGCCTATAAAAAAAACCTAAAATCTTGGTTTTGTTCATCAAATCTGTAAACCATTCATGGATATTAATGCAATCAAAACGGTTTATGTTGCATATGTCAGCAAAAAGATATAATCAGATCAGATCTACATTTATCCTCCAGAATCTGCATTTTCACCTCTGAAGACAAAAATGGAATGCCTCATTACCAGTGAAAAGGATCTCCGGTTCTCTAAGATAACCATGTCCACAGCAGCAATCAAGTGCTATTTTGCACTGGTATTCTGTGAGTGTTTTCCTAACTCTTCCCACATAATGATTTCTTATATTTACACAAATACTACACATTAAATAGACCTATTTTTTAATTCCTGAAGTTTCTGGCACTTTACAGCAACCATGGTCACTGGTAGTATGAGGTTTGATGTTCTGATGTCATAATCAATGAATGCTTACCTCAACTTTAAAAAAAAATTCTATAAGCAAAATTTGAAATAGTCCACTAAAGTTAGTCTTGAATGTGTGATCCTACTAACTGATACAATAATTCCCATTCAAACAACTGTAGTACTACTTTGTTAATGAGAACAATTGAAATTTACACACAATTAATCAAAAATGGATATTTAATACACCTGATGAGGCCTCCAAGTTTCTGTCATGAATTTTATGGATGGATTATCACTGATTTGACCTTACCCAAGGTATATTTTATTTTTAGAAAAAATAAACAACAAGCACTTGTGGTATAGTAACAGTACTGTGACATCATCCAAAAAAATATGATAAAAAATCATAATAGTGATGCCAATGATGTCTGGTCCTATTAAAAAAAAATTTAAAGTTATGTTTCTTGTTATTGATTACTGCAAACATTGCATCCGGTATTTTCAAAATAAAAGTTTCTGCGAAAGGTTATGCAAAAAAAAAACAATTTTTAATGAAACAAACTTCAGTACTTTTTTATAACATGGTTAGTTACACAAAAATATACTGGAATTAATCATTCATTTTCTTCTATAAAATAATTTAAAGTACGCCAGAGTCTCTACCTAAAGGTACCTAAGCTACTGTTAAATTCTTTCTAAATAGTACAAAAAGCCAATGACGATAGCGCGTCAACGTAATTTAGAAAATACTGGTTTACCTTGACACTCACCTTTGGAACATAGCAGTAAAGAAGTTTATGGTCATCATCAACTAGAATATGTTCAAATTGATTTGGAGTTAATTCATCGAGGCTCTGTTTTAAAGGAAATCGTCTGCATGCATCCTGAATAAGTTCTTGTCGAGCCAAGTTCAAGGACTGGGTCAATTCTAAAGAATGTTCACTCATAGACTCATCATTGTTCCCGCTTACAGAAAACAGTACGCATACTAAAAGTATCAAAATTCCGTCGTAAGTACGCATCTTTCGCCATTAGTAACGCACATTAAAATATTTTTTTTCTAAATCACAAATTTTATAAATGTAGGACACGCACAAAACAAGTAATTACAGTTGTAAAATTAAGCTTGGTTCGAACTATTTTAAAAATTACAAAAGGTTTAAGTTACAATAATAACTCCGATTCATTTTAACCAACTACAAAATTTAATTAAAGCGATCGCAAAAAATACTTCCACATAGTAGAAACATTAATACATCCAACACCTACGAAATTGACAATGACACTAAAAGCTAAAAGCTAAAACACTAAATAAAATCACAGATTAAAATCACAAACTAATAAGAGTACATTAAAATGGATTTTTTTATTTAACTGGCTTAACGGCTCTGGGTACTAGCCCTTCTGAGTCTATCATTTCTTTCAGAATCTTCATTTTATATATTTTTTCTTCACAATACGCTGATGCGTCACATTGTGAAGTTTTTGTGAGATTTTGAAGACAGTTCAACCCAGCGGACTGTTGATGACGACAGCCACTCAAGTTCATAAGGCGCCCAAGCGATCAAATTAACTTGAGGTTTATATCAACATTAAAGCACTTGTTTAGTCGTTTTCTCTAAAAGTTCACACTTAATTCACAAAATCACATCACTTTTACGAATTAAAATCCACTTCAAACCATTATTCAAGCGACAAAACAGGAGTGACAGTCCGTCGCTGCCAAGTTCCCGCCATAACTCGATTAAAATGGAAAGATATAGTGTCCCATGCAGGTTAAAGAGGTATATGTAGCCTCCATGTAGTGTTCTGTGGAAAAGATACTCTATGACTAAATAAAAAAGTAACGAAGCAAAGTATACCTATAGTCAAACAAATCTAAGAAATACCTTTTGACGTTCATTCCGCTACAACTTTGCACAAGCGTACTCAAACAATTTAAAATAATCTTTTAAGTAAATTCGAAGAATTATGAAGATAGTCCAACTTCGACCGAGAGGTCAATCGACGGATTCAACTCGGCTGGGCAGCGTTCGGGAAATTACGACATATCTTCTCGTCAGGTATACCTCAATCTCTGAAAACTAAAGTGTACAACCAGTGCGTGTTGCCAGTGATGACTTACGGATCAGAGACGTGGTCCTTCACTGCTGGCCGTATGAGGACGCTCAAGGTCGCTCAGCGAGCTATGGAGAGGGCTATGCTCGGAGTTTCTCTGCGTGATAGACTCAGAAATGAGGATATCCGCAGTAAAACCAGATTGACCGACATAGCCCAACGGATTAGTAAGCTGAAGTGGCAATGGGCCGGCCATATAGCTCGAAGAACCGATAACCGATGGGGAAGAAAGGTTCTCGAGTGGCAGCCTCGTACCGGTAGGCGTAGTGTAGGGCGACCCCCCACTAGATGGAGTGACGACCTGGTAAGATATGCAGGAAGTCGATGGATGCAGGTGGCTCAGGACCGTGCTTTGTGGCATTACTTGGGGGAGGCCTATGTTCAGCAGTGGACTTGTGAAGGGCTGTGATGATGATGATGATGAAGATATCTATATTTTTCATTAAAACATGGTATAGTTTTTTATCACTAATTTAAATTCGAATCTTTCAAACAAAACAAAATATTTAAAAAATAACCAGTATCAACTTTTTTACTTTACATCGTTTCAATATTTCGCTCAGAACCTTACCGTAGTGTTTGCATGACTAAAATTCATTTTTATGCGAATAATCGGCAAAAATATTCAAAAAATCGAAACATTCATTTTTTTTAAGTATTAATTGTTTAATTAAATTATTATTTTTAAAATTCCTTAAATTACATGAATCATGAATAAAACAAGTTTATTTTTTTATTTTGTCAACGTAAATTTGTGTAGGAAAAAACCTCATATACAAGGCCGCGGTAAAAAAACCACAACGTAATTTCTCATAATCTCTTTTTTCGGAAGCTTATTGTGCGTTATTTTATGATTTTGTGTTTGTCTTCTTATTTTGTGACTCGGCTTTAACTTTTTGGACTGTTTCTTCTATATACGTTGAAGCATGTGCCCACGTCACAAAGTCTGATTGAGTAAAAGAGATAGAAAAAACAAAAAAAGTTATTATGGATTACTTTGAAAGAGACATTAATTTTAATTGCATTATTGAAAATTAAATAATAATTAATCTATGCAACGACAGCTCAAGTAGTTGTATCGAAAGTGATTGAATAAATTTATTTTTAATCTAGTTTCAATCTTAAATTTTTATAACATTGCATGTAGAAATAAAAAACCGGCACGGAGAAAGGGACAAACAATCACACTGCTCTGTCTCACTTCTATGCAAGACGTATGCATAAATCTATCTTTTTTGTGTGCGAATGCGAAAGAAGGCGTCAATACGTAGACAGAGAAACCTATAGACAAATTGACGCCTTCTTTCGCATTCGCACACGAAAAAGATAGATTTATGCATACGTCTTGCAAAGAAATGAGACAGAGCGGTATGATTATTTGTCCCTTTCTCCGTGCCGCTTTTTTTGTTTAGCAAGCTACACTTTGCTAAACAACTTTGACATTCGTAGCGATCTAAGGACTTTACAAGTTGGTTTAAGTGAGAAAAAAGTGTTTTGTGAGCCTAATATTGGTGAATCTTGTTCAATTCAGTTCTTAGAACAATTAGAAATTTTATCTAAATATGTTTAAAAGTCATAAAGATTATTGTATAACCTAAAACTACGTTATCGTCTTTTCTCACTCGAGGCCACGCTAATCATTAGTCTATAGGTTTCTCTGTCTACGCGTCAATATGTCTATAGATTTCTCTGTCTACGAACAAATATCATTGGAAAAAAAAAGAAACAAGCGTTGTGTCAAGTTCTGTGTAGTGACCAGTAGTACTGTGAATTCTGTATTTAAAATGTAAATAATAATATATTTATTATACTTTTGTACTAGTTTTATTTATGGAAAAAATGCTTTCTATCCATATATCCACAAGTTTTACAAATATAAAGTCTGTAATGATGTTTTATATGTGGTGAAGTCGACATGCGAAAACTTCGCCTTTGTGTGTGGGTTTTTCGTTAAGCTTTTGTATTATATATTATTTATTTTAATAAAATATTTACTATAAATATAAAAATAATAAATATAAATTTAAAATAAATTCTTATAAGTATAAATTTAAAAATAATGTTAATTTGCCACTTTTTATAGCCGCCCGGGAGATCAGACTAGAACGGAGTATGTCGATATTTTAGATATTTTTGCATAGAAATACTTTATGTAAGGTTATTGGTATTATGGATAGGGTGATCATGTTTTGTCAATAAATATATAAATAAATACTGCATATACAAGAAATTTTTTTCAGTAATTCTAAAATTAATCATTTTTAGCCGTCGCACTTCAATTGGGTAAATTATTATTAACGTAATTAAATTCTGCATTTCATTAGCCTTCTGTGTATTTCTTTTATTCAGATAACGGTAAAGAACTTTCTCGGTGGTAACCGTTTTAGTAGAACTGGTCGCGATCAGACCGTTAAAAAATCCGCGACTTGCGGCGCGGGGCGTTAGAGGCTATTGTCGCCGCATCACTCGGACGTTCAAGTGGTTAACTATGTGAAAAAAACATTGAATTTGTTTTTAGTCATTTTTATCTTTTCTGTTATGACTACTAAATTAACATTAACTTCAAAAAAACTCACCTAATATAGTTTATTTACTAATAAAATTATAAAAGTTTCATTTATTTCATTTGCGTGCGCAATTACACATTATACAAACTGACATGTGACACATAATCGAACATACAAACATTAAAACAAATACAATCGTTTGCGGTGACAAATACAATCAGGCGCTACTTTGCGGAAATCCATTATTTTAAAGATGTTAAAAATGTATACGCTCTTACTACACGGATTTTAAACTTCTCTTACCGAGGGTACAAATTAGAAAACTCCTTTGTGTCCCGGGCTGGAGTTTGCGTATATGTCAGAGAGGACATCTGTTTTTGACGTATCGGCAGCTTTGACGATACGGACCTGTTCATATTACGGCTGCGCGTAGACAGCGACGACCATTCGGTGCCTCTATAGGTTGCATAGCGGCAATGCCAACACAGACCGACTCATTGAACGCACATCCTAATGGTTGCAGGCTCCGTGCTACAACAGGTCCAATCCGCAGATCCTATTGCTTGGTGACTTTAACCCCACCACGCTGAATGGCTTAGTTTAACCGATCATTCGGGTAGATCCGTTTATGACTTTGCTTTGGCATATGGTCTGACACAACTGATTGCCTCGCCTACACGAATCCCAGATGTGGAAGATCATGTACCTTCCCTGTTGGACCTTCTGCTGACCTCTCATCTGGATTTATATCGGGTCTCCGTCGATGCCCCTCTTGGCTCCTCGGACCATTGTCTGATCTGGAGTACGGTAAACCTTATGCTGCATTCTGCATTCTGCATGTTGCCGCCGTATTTGGTGTTATAGGTCAGCCAATTGGGGCGGGATGCGATCTTTGTTTCCACCCTACCCTTGGAGGCGGGTTTCCTTCTCGCCGGATGATTCCAGCGTTGTTGCTGATTTGTTGATACAGGGAATGCAATTTTTATTCCATGTAAATAATTATATTCAGATCTGTGGTACCTATCGAAGGCATAACCCAGCCATGGTTTGGTCGTTCTTGCAAAATTACATTACGTCGTAAGCAAGAGTGTTGCCAGGCCTGATCTCATGCATCGACGTCTCGGGATGCAAATACCAGCGCTCTTAAAAAGAAGATGTTATATAACTCCGCCTCGAGGTCCTTCAAAAGAGTCAGTGCTAAAGCAAAGTCAGAGCACATCGGCAGAATTGGCGAGAAACTTCCATTGGGAACACGTGCGTTCTGATCTCTCGCCAAGGCTGTCCAAGGGAACTTCTGTCAGCCATCTCTCCCATCTGTGCACCGGGAGGATGACTCAATGAACTATGCGGCAAAGGACAAAGT